ACTAAAAGAAAAAAATATTAGCCATTTCTAGGTCTTATTTATAAAAAAAAAAAAAAAAAAGAAAAAAAAAAGTTTTCTAAGCCATTTTGACCATTCTAGAGTACAAATCAGCACGCCAAATTAGCGACAAAGTACTTATTAACAATTCTAACGTCGTTTAATATTAATGCATCCGATCTCATCAGAATTTTGTTTTTAATATTGGGTGGAATTCAAATTCCATTAATTTCTTTTCTTAGTGAAATGGCTTCTTCTCGTTCTTTGGAAATGAATCTCATTCTTGTTGATTCTAATTCCCATTTCGATTCTTGTCTGAATCAAACCGATTATGAAAATAAATCATTCCAATTTCAATATTGATGAATTTTGATTCCAATTCTAAATATGAACCAAACAGACCCGTAATTTGTCAGGTGTCCTTTACTAATTTTAATGGAAAAATTAAAGGTTATGATTCTAATCATTCACGGGGCTACCGCGCTTGAGTTTATCATCCCATGATCCATGAAAGCCATTGAGGCGCCTATCTAAAATGCCAAGAGTAGGACTACTTGACCCTTCTTCGTGTCTACTTTGATAGGGGAGACGTCCCACAATTAAACTTGGACCTCTCTTTTGTATTTCAGTGAAAGAAACGAATAGGTGTTGAATATAGGTCTACACTAAAAGAAGGGGCCCGTGCTAAGGGCCAAGGAGGATTTCTGTAGGGAACACATGGGCCCTTTTGAGTTTTGACCCTAAACATACAGCGTAGAAGGATTCTTAAATTGTATAGATATGCAATTTCCCCTTTCTTTCAACGTAAACAAATATTGCCTGGTCACTCGTCACAGTTACAAATCTTAGTCCTGTAGACGAACTAAACCAAGAAGAGCCAGTATTTTTAATCACTCGCCCTGTAAACAAACTACCGCTTGTCACTCATCGGAATCCAATCAGAGATTGTATTTTAATCACAACTATCAGGGGTGGAGCCAGGGGGACCCAGGGGAGTCATGGCCCCCCTATGGTTCAGAAAATCTCCACTTTTTATGTAAAATTTTCCCTTCCCCCATTCTCTACTTCAATGGTTAACCCCCCTATGAGTCCATCCATACTTCATTTAGGTTTTGGCCCTCTTATAAAAATTTCCTGGCTCTATCCCTGACAACTATCACGACTCCTTTAACAAATTAAACTAAGAAGAGCTCCTCAATCATCAGTGGTCAGACCCAACCCAAGGCCTTGCGAACTTGTACCAACATCGATCCTCATCTCGATTCCCACAGGATTCGGACTAGCAGGCAACAAGAGGAACACAAGTCGACTGGAAAATACCACTTTTTCTTTCCAAACCAGTTCCCAACCACGACAATGACAAAAAGGCCATTTGATCAACTAGAAATGACCAGCAACATCTGAACCATCCATTTTTTTCCTTCACCTTTAAATGTGCGACACTGTTCGGTGGATTTGTCCTTCTTCGAGCTCCACAAGCAAATATGTCCTTCGATCCTCTGCCTGGCCTTTTGACATGCTCGATACTTGAGTTTGTGGAGGAGCGACGAAAAGGGTAAAGGGAACAATGGTATTTGCAGAACCTTTGTTAATAGTGGGTTTTGATATTTCATGATGTAGCGGCAACGACAGAACATCATCAAGTAGGTATGATAATTTTTCCCATTTCCCCGATTTTCGTGGGGATCCACCCCAAATGGGGCGGGGATAGGGACGATTTTCTCCCCGTGGGAACAGGAATGGAAAAATTTTCATCCCCGTTAGCAGGGACAGGGAGAGCACTCCCCACCCTGTAGAGACCCCGATCCTTGCCCCGTGGGATCCCCACTAATATATATGTATATATGTATGCATATGTTATATATGTATATATGTACACATACATCTATATATTAATATTTTTAAAAATATGATTGAATATGTTTGAATCTTTTCTAAAAGGATTGTAAATTTTAATTATTTTATTTTTTTTAAATAAAATAGAAAACAAAAAACAAAATGGTTAACATTATAAAAAATCACAGGGAATGGGGATCCCCGTAGAGACGGGGATGGGGATAACCTTATCCCCATTAGTGGGGATGGGGACCGAGATGGGGATGGGGATGGGGATTTTCATGGAGATGGGGATGGGGAGAGGCTCCCCATCCTTGCCCCACCCCGTTGCCATTCCTACCACCAAGAAAAAAATGAGAAATCACTAAACGTCACTAACAACGAGGGGAAGCAGAGGAATAAGAGTACCACTAGTTAAGTGGTGACAGGGGGATGAAAATTGTGAGAAGAGGAGAAGAAGAAAGAGAAAAACAAGAGAGAGAATGAGAGAGAGAGATTGGTAGGTAGACGGAGATGGAGATAGGGGCGGAGACGAAGATGGGGACGGAGACAAAGACGGAGCAGCGATCTGCTTCTTATCTTCTTGAAATTTGGGTTTTATTTTGAAAATTTGAGTAATAATGGAGGGAAAATTTGACATTTCATTTTTTTCGTTAATACTTAACAACAATATCAATTGTCAAAAATAGTAAAGTAGGGGTGGATTTGAGCCGAGTCAAGCGAATATTTGGCTATTCGAGCTTAGCTCGCTCATAAACTATCAGACTTGACCTCGATTCGAATTAGAGACTTGAGCTCGAGCTCAGCTACCTTTGATTGCAAGTCTCCCTTAGCTGCTTAAGTGTCGCGTCGAGGTTCCCCTAGCAACTGAGGTGCCAAACCAAGGTCTCCCTCAGTTGTCAAGGTGCCAAGCTGAGGTTTCCCTTAGCTACTGAAGTACCGAACTGAGGTTTCCCTATCAGCCAAGGTGTTGAGCTGAGGTCTCCCTTAGTTGCCGAGATGCCAAGTTGAGGTCTCCTTCAGTTGCCGAGGTGTTGAGCCGAGGTCACCCTTAATGGTCGAGGTATCGAGTCGAGGTCTCCCTCAGTAGCCAAAGTGCCAAGCCAAGGTGACATAGGCTCGCGAGCCTCATGAGCCAAGCTTTATTAAGCTCAAGCTCAGCTCGATTAGAAAATGAGCCTATATATTAGGCTCGAAGCTCGATTTAAATCGAACCGAGCCAAACTCAAACAACTCAAGACAATAGTTAAATAATAAGGGTATAATTAATCAACTAACTAAACAGTAACAATAATTTAAAGAATTTTCCCTTAAAAAACGAAAAGTAAAAGAAATATAAGAGAATTACACATGGCACCAAAAGACAGATCCAAACACCAAGCCCCACCAGAGCCAACCCTAACCACTAAAACAACACAAACAAAAGAGGACACCAACCAAAGCTGAAATAAAAACGCTTTAACAAACCACCAATGGATTTCTTGAACCTAGAGGCTAGAGATACCACCTGCTCATCATCACTGTCAATAAAGTAGGAAGAATTAATCGATTAAATTCATTTCATCCCCACCAATTTCGAAATTAATAAGCTAAAGCCCCTCATCCATTACCAAGAGTCGGTCTCTTTAATTACGTGGTAAGGAAATTGCGGCTCAAGCTCATAAAATAATTTCTGAGCTCGAGCGAGGAGGCCTAAGTCCCTACCCACTTACACGCCCAACTCCACTCTTTGATCTGCACGCAGTGGGTGGCCACTAGCTTTGGGAGATAGGTGCGGTCCAGGCTCACACTTTGACTCAGGGGTCAATGAGCCCACTCGGGGGTCAATTAACCAGTGTCATTTGCTTTCAACATTATAGGCCTCAGATTCGAGTGAATCGACTTTCCAACCGTCCCCCACAAGCTGAGGATCTTTAATCCTCAGCTATTCCAACCGCTACATAGGAAAAAACGGTACTCCAAGAAGCAGCCATCTGTTTGGAATCATTTTTCCTTAGAAAACCGTGCTTTAAGTCATGTCTTGAAAATCAGGAAGGCATGACTTGGAGCAACGCCAAATTTGATGTTTCTTAGAGTTGCAGCTTGTTTCTGCCAATAGGGCATTGATGTGGCAATGATGTGGCACTGGATAATGGATAGGAGTGCAGAAAATGTTTCCAAAAGCATTGGTACCAAACAGAAAAAGTAGTTGTTGCTCTAGGAAACGTACGTCCTACCTGGTAAGAACGGTTCCAAACAAAAACAAGGCTTCTAGCCCACACATCAACAATCTGCAACTGCAGCATCAATGCCAAACATATACTAATTGGATGGGATCTGAATCTCCTATTTGAGAGAATAGTCATTCTTTGCCTCTCATTTGGGATTAAAATCTTATTCCTGCTGATTTTCTCATTCCCATTACTATCTGAACCAGATTCTAGGAATAGACCATTTCGATCCCGATTCCAATTCCAATTCGAATGCAAACCAAATGGACCCTAAATTAATCTTTAGGTAATTTTTTTATATATGAATTATATGTATAAATAATTTTACAAATTGATTGCTCAAATCTATTCTTTTTGGAGTAGCGCATTTATAAAGTCTATCTAGTCAAATCATAATTTAGGCCCAATTTGATTCATTCCAACTATTTGTCTATTTTGATGGGTGGAATTAGAATCCCATTCCCAATCCTAAACCAAGCAAACTATGGAAAGACCATTGGATTCCAATTGCCACTATCAACCAATGGACTCTTAATTTAGAAATGCAAAAGAGATGATACTACGGGGGAGAGAAAAAGAGATTATTTGATCAAAATATTGGCTTCCTTAGATAATAGAACGAAGGGGCAATGTGGCAAGTCTTTTTTTAAAAGATCTTATGGAAAGTTAAAAGAGGATGTGAGATTTTGCATAAAGATCTTAACAATTTAAAGACTGTTTGGTTAAATATACCTATCTGCATGTCTTTTGGATGAAGATGAATTAAAAAAAAAAAAAAAGGCGAAAAGTTCTATTTAGAGCTTCCCAAAAATAGCCCAAAACGTGTCTTTTCCAGACTGCGATTTTGGCGAATAAATCTTTTCACAACCAAACGGGCCGCAATTTATCGAAAAAGAGAAGCATATCTATCTCTACGGTTTTGTAGAGATACATTCATTATATTATTTTGTTTATTTTTGGCTTACATCCATATCAAAAGAAAAGGGTTCCACTCAAAGAAATACATAATAGATTGCAGGGGAGGCATACTATTAGTTAACCCTTCTGCAATTTGTCCTAAGCTGACCGCTGGTTCCAGTCAGTGGGCTGAGGTTCCCCATCTTGATCATGGCGTTCCCGAAGTCGGAAAAGAAAGTTGCAGAGTTGGTACTGTAGGTTCTAACTTGAGAATCAGTGGAACCACCATTGAAGAGCTGCTGGTCCGAGTGTAACAGGCCCTTGTTGCTCAACAAGTTGGTGAAGAAAACATTGTCAAACGTTGTAGCAGTTGTTGTGTCGAGGTTTGCGAGGTTGTTGTCACCTCCTGAGCTCGGGCAGTTGGATTTCATGGATGTCGCAAACTGGGAGTCGATGTTGGTCTCGTTATGGATACGATCCCTGAATGTTGTGCACCTGGCTTGCCCTATGGTATGTGCTCCTTCAACGACAAGAGAAATCCAGCCAATTCCAAAGGTTAGTACTTATCAGTAGGATTCAATCAATCCATCTAACAGATTTACAGTAGTGATCACCATAAAATTTCATAGCCCTAGCTACCTGATAGAACCACCAATTCATTAGCAGTGAAGCCCTTGTTTGCAAAGGCAGATATGAGAGCACTGAGATCCAGGAATGGAGCTGGGAGGTCGTTATTGGCATCATTCAAACTTGCAGTTGTTGAATCTCTTCTCCCCAACTGCACCGTCCATGAAGTGCCACCCAACTGGAGAAAAATCATGTAAAATCGCCAGAATAACAAAAGTATTGATTAATTACTACAGTCAGAAGATAGAAAGAAAGAAAGAAAAAAAAAAAAAAAAAAAAAGAAAGGAAATCGCCAATGGTGGAGTGAAGTGTTGATTACAGCGACGACGGAGTCCCGAGCAGCAACTGCCAGAATGTCTGCACATGAAACAACTCCAGGGCACGCGCTTTCGAGTTGAGATTTGATGGTATCGATCACATCAAACCCTCTCACTGAATTTGCATTAGGAAGAGCTGTCTTCTCCCCGGTGAAGGTGGACGTGTCATCCAACAGAATAGATGCATCACAGCCCTGTGTTCATAACACATACACAAGTCGTCATCACATTAATCTAGCTACTTCTCACACACGACAAAAGAAAAACCAAAGCGGCATTTCTATGTGATCTAAGCTAAATACTTGTTTCATAGAGTTACTGATAGAGATGCATGCACCAACTACGTACAAAGGTTCAGGCGTTCAGCTAGCCAATAACCAGCCTAATTACACACATGGGTTCATCTCGATCCATGTGTTGATGGGTACTCAAATAATATAATTAAGCCTTGTTTGTAATATGATCCGGTTGATCAACCCATAATTTTAATTGGGTTGTTAGGGGTGTCAATGGATCGACTGGATCTGGACCGGGTCTGAACCTAAATCAATAAGAAAACACAGACCACGACCCAAACCAGACCGGCCTTTTAGGGTCAGGGTCTGCAAGTATTACACCCAAAAAATACACCATTTTAGAAAATGAGATGAGCTCAAATTAAACACAAAAGTTTAATTACAGGCTTAATTAACCACTTGGCTAGAGAAACAAGAAAAGAAAGAGTAAGAATGAAAAAGAATTGGGACTTGCATTAACAAAGCAGTCGTGGAAATGGAGACGGAGCAACGAGGCTCCCATGCGGCGTTCGCTAGACACAGCAGAGTCTACTGCAGACTTGATGATGGAGAGGGCTCTGGGGCATGATGTGTCGTAGAAAGTCGAGGATAGCTGCCCAGAGACCACCCCAAATAGAAAGAACGAGATACAGAAGGAGAAGCTACTCAGAAAGGAGGAGGATGCCATGATGAGCTAGCTGGGGAGAGATTGGCCGTGCTTGTGGTTGTGGAGCTCTACACAGCGCGAATGCTCTATTTATATTAGCTCCTCGTATCAGGTCAAAGATTTCGTTCTTCGATCTCAACAAAAACAAGGAAATAATATATTTGGTTTATTTTATTTTAAAGAAGTGAACGACTTTTCTTGTGGTGCCCAGTGATTTCATGGGTTTGTCTTCTTCCTTGGATCCAGGATTCAGGAAGGTAGATTCAAACCAGAAGGAAAAAAATTTGTATCATCAATATCTATCATGATCACTATGTGTTTGCAGAAATCAATTTAAGAAAATGTCTGATTCTGTGTCTTGTTTATCGGTCTGGAAGAAAAGGATAATGATTTTTAGGATTTGCTTCACACTGCCACATCCTGCGACTACTTCCTCAATGAATTATTGCCGTTTATTTGAAAAAACAGCACCAGCTCACATTTTGATTTGTGTGACAGTGACCATTGAGAGAAGTTTTATTTTTTAATGTTTCTGAAAAGTGATGCCTAAGGACATCTAAGGGCACCTATCTGTCAAAATAATATAAAATAACATTTATCAACCAATTTTATTATTTCTCAAAACTTAAAGAAATTGCCGGTGTTATTGGTCAATATATCCATGGAATTAAAACATTTTACAATTTACAACAAAGTAGAGTGTGGAGGGATGTGGCCTGTGGGCAAAAATGTTTGTAAATTTTCTTTGGTGGCCCCAGATCAGAACCCAGATTAGCGACAAAATCATGCACACCAGGCTGGGCTACTTACTACCTATCACAAGTGAATGCACCAGTGTTCAGTATAGATGGGGCCACAGTGAAAGGTGGCTTTACTTGTCAATGATAGCCCAACCAGCCCAATGTGTACAATTTTGTCTCTAATTCATTCAAATTTTTCCAAATCCACTTGAGAATTTATCTCCTTTTCACAACTAAAAACATTAGTATTCATAGGCTGCATTTGGTTGCAATATAAATGCAAATATATACACTACATATTTACCTATTTTTCAATTCATGAATGCAAACACGGTTCACATTTTAAGTCGTTTTTGTATTCATCATTTTTGTTTGAAATCGGTGCAAAGTTTGGGCACATCATTAAATGCTCCAACTATCTTATGCTCTAATGCCTTAATTCTGGTCAAAAAATTAACTTTATCAAATGAACACAAAATTGTATCCAAAAAATAGGTACTCTTCTCAGAGTATAAAAGTGTCAAAAAATATATTTTTACTCTAATAATAATCATTACTTTTTTTACATTTCAAACAAACACAAACTAAGATACATAAATACCCCGATTTAATATTTATATCGCAAACAAACGGAACCATAGAGACATTTTAACAGCAAAAGGAGACAAATCCCCCTAACATATTTTAAATGGGTCACCCGATTTCATATTAAAGTATTAAAACAGCGCCCCTATCCATATTCTTATAATTTAAATCCTTACCACATGGGATATAATTAAGATCTCTGAAATGGGTTTCCTTACCATTTTTTAACTTAGTCTTAGCTACATACCCCCAACTACCCATTTGCTGTCCAGACTTCAATAAGGATTTCTTTTTTAATGTTTTTCAGGCAAATTCCATTCAAGAAAAGGATGCTGTGAACTCATAATTTTTAATTAGAAAGGTACATTCCTTGTGAATTGATTAAAAATATTATTAATGCAAAACAAGGTGACCAGAGACATAGCTTACTAGGTACTTAGCAAAATTTCCGCCATTAGTACCGGGATTGTGGGGCAATAACTAGTGAGCTATTCTCGTTTTGTGAGTTCGGATCTCTTGCCCATGAGAATTCTGCCCACGTTTATTACAGCTGCACATGAAAAACATCTCATCCTCTGCATAGTATTATGCAGAGGGAGATGTTCCCAATTCACAAGGGGTAGTGTATTATGGGTAGGATTCTCGTGGGCAGGAGATCCGGAGTCCCGTTTTGTAACTCAAATGCCTACCCAAAAAAATAAATAAAGTTGGCTAGCTGCTGGCACGTGCAAAATGAAGGCTACGATGCACATTATATTGTATCAAAACAATTTCGGAATGCAACGACAATTAGGTGTGTCAATTGAACTGGATTTGGGATACATTATATTGTATCAAAACAATTTCGGTATGCGAATTAATGTTTTTAGGAAGTGTAATATGGGACGGAAATCAAAATGCAACGACAATTAGATGTGTCAATTGGACTGGATTTGGCCCAATCCCATTCGGTATTAATATGAGCCTATTTTATCACAAAATGGACCCGATTGGATCCAATATAGTGATTTTGAACAAAAAAAATTAATAATAAAATAAAAATTCAGGGGACTTGTAAAAACTAATAATTATGACCATGCCCTTTATCACAAAATGAAATGCGCTTATCGCCACCTTGAAGAAAATGCCCAAAACATTGAAAAGAGTTTTGGGCGCACTTAAGTCCTCTCTTAGGGACCAATGTCAAGCAAATCCCTGAATGAAAAATAAGATAAAGAATTTCTGATGGCAATAATCCTTTGAAAAAAAAAAACTATGACAATATACTGAGCCTTTTAAAAACAATGTACACCACGATCTGATTTGGATTTAATTTTAGTACTAGCGAAGGGGCCGAAATTGTAATATTGATATTTGTTATGTTAAAAAATATAAAAGTTTTTTAATAAGAAACTTGCAATTATAAATATCCAATTCTTGAAATTCATATAAAGACTTAAAAGAGATTATCATGTACTCATTTTTTAAATATTATTTCAGCAAAGCATCTCATATAAAAGAATACGATCATACAATGATAGTTCAGAGTTCTACTTCATAATTGTCCTTTGTTTCACATCGAGAATTCTCAATTGACCCAGACAGTAGGACTGTTCAGCCCGAGAACCGTCTAGGCAACCGGTTCTGTTTTACCCCAAGCCTGGTCCCTAGCCAAAAATTGTTGAATCAGTCAACGACTAGTTGACCCAGGCGGTCGACCCATTCAATGGCTTTTGGCCATTTTTTATTTTTTAATTTTTGTTGCCAGAATAGGCCATCTGTTCAAACCAGACAGTTCAATCGTTGACCTAGAAATTGGTGGTCAGAACGGTTCTGTTTCTGGATCGTTTTTTCTAGATTTCAATAATTAGATGAAATAACTTTGTAGTCATAGTCATGGGAAGGGTGGACATTGCAAGGAATTCCAAAACCTTGAAAGATAAATCCAAAGTGATCTTAAACATAGAAAAAATTGGCGGTAAATCCACCAAGCTAGAAAAATCAAAGAAAAAAAATCAAAAAATCGACTCTAAAGTTCCGCTTTGAAATAGATCTAAACATACATGCAATCAAAGAAAGAGACAAAGCAAATCATCTTGTAAGAAAATTAAAAAAAAAAAAAACATTGCACAAGAAAACCCAAAGAAAAAACAAAATGGAGGAAATAAAATTGTGGTAACCCTAAACCGTTTTGGAGGATCTTGAAGAAGAAGACCAAACACAAAAAAAAGCAAAAAATGAAAAAAAAGGAACATACTGCACATGTTGGAATAAAGCCAACAGAATAAGAAACCTTTGAATAGTGAAAATCCAAAAGCACAAAAAACCATGGTTTTCGAACCATCGTTGACACAAACGGATAAAAATTTCAGCCCGAGAACCGTCTAAGCAACCAATTCCGTTTTACCCCAATCCCGGTCCTTGGCCAAAAACCGTTGAATTGGTCAACAACACATTAACCCGAACGATCAAACTATCGAATCATTCAATGGCTTTTTGACTATTTTTTTTTAATTGGGAACCATCCAGGCAACCGATTTCATTTTATCCCAATCCTGGCCCCTGGCCAAAATCCATTGAATCGATCAACGACCCATTGACCCGAGCAATCGAACCGTCAACCTGTTCAATGGTTTTTGGTTGTTTTTTTATTTTTTTTAATTTTTGTTGTCAGAACAGATTGTCCGTCCATTCGAACCGGATGGTCAAACCATCGACCCAAAAACTGGTGGCCAGATAGGTTCCGTAATTATTTGCAGAATGGGTCATCCATCTGTTCGAACCCGATGGTCAAAATATTAACCCAAAAACCGGTGGTCATAACGGCTTTGTAATTTTTTGCTTATAATTTTTGTTGTCAAAGCGGGCCATTCATTCAAATCAAATGGTTGAACCATAGACCCAAAACCGGTAACATATATATTAGATTCTTCATTCAGAATATATATATATTAAAGGGCTTCCATTTGGTGAAAGGGGAGACCACTCCTATCCCTTTAATAGATATATATATATAAGATGTTTTATTGTTCCATCCAAATATGTTTTGTTAAATATAAATTTTAGGTCTTTTTGCTTTTCGATAAGTTATTTATCGAGTAAATGTACTTACCTAGGTAAGTGTTTCACAGGAAAAACTTACTTGGGTAAGTGCATTTTACCCCAATCCGGGTCCCTGGCCAAAAACCGTTGAATTGATCAATGACCCATTGACCCAAGCGATCGAACTATCGACCCGTTCAATGGCTTTTTCACCGTTTTTTTTTTATTTTTTTAACTGAGAACTGTCTAGGAAACCGGTTCCATTTTATCCCAATTCTGGTCCTTGGCCAAATCCATTGAATCGGTCAATGACCCATTGACTCAGGCAATCAAACCATCGATTCGTTGACCCGTTCAATGGTTTTTGGTTATTTTTTATTTTTTTTAGATTTTTGTTATCAAAATGGGTCGTCCATTCAAACCAAATGGTCAAACCGTCGACCCAAAAACTGGTGGCCATAACGGTTCCATTTTTTGGTTGTATGAGTCACACGCTCGAATGACATAACATGTATGATAATGCTTAATGGACCTCATACACTCAATTTTTTGCCTGTAATTTTTATTGTCAAAATGGGTTGTCCATTCGAACCGAACAGTCGCACTGCCATTTTTTATTTTTTAATTGGGAACCGTCCAGGCAACCGGTTCCGTTTTACCCCAATCCCGGTTCCGGGCCAAAAACCTTTGAATCGGTCAATGACCCATTGACTCGAATTGTCGAAC